TTTATCCAATATTTTCAAAATTGGGATTTCACATAAGATCGTTTTGGCGTTTCAGGTTCGTATCGGATTCTGGATCGGCGGGATCGTAACCATTTAAAATATTATAATAATTCTGAAATCGCGAGTTTCAATTTTTTAGTTCAATTCTTGTTTGATTTTATGGAGGAGAGGTGACTAGTGCCCGCATATGTACCATTAACTCAAAATTTTAACTTTTATATCTTTTCTAATCATTTCCCCCTCTTTTTATACAAAATCAACAACTTGTACAAGTATCGACAAAATCAATGGGATCGTAGGATCGTCCGGATTGGGATTTTGAAGGATTCTATAAGATCTCACTACAAAGAAAGATTTCATAAGATCCAGGATCAATTTCCTAATTCCGGATCGCAGGATCGTAAGATTCTAAGATCCAGATCGGGATTTTAAAAATTATGCTTTTATCTATCTATATTTATTATACTAAGAGAGAAACTAGAGAGAGGAAATCAAACTTCTCCTCCCGTTGACACATAAGACAAAATCCTATGTGTCATTTTTTTATAGGTTGACACAAAAAATATTTACAACAATTACACTAATAGTCCTTTTAATTTTAAGTAAATAAATTTTCATCAAATCGTAATTAAATTCTATATCAATTAATTGGGGGTTAAAATTTCACTTTTAAATTCGGTCAAACAAAAAAAAAGAAACATTTTTTTTAAAAAAAAATCAATATTAATGGTTTCTTTCCATTTGGTGCCATAAAAAAAAGGTAAAATTGATTTGACTTTATTATAATTATTGCTGATTGATTTGAATAAACTTTGTGATTGACGTAAATAAATCTCCAATTATGGTTGATGACCTTATCTAAAAAAACCATGGCCAATGACCTTACCTAAAAAAATAATCAAAATTAGTGCTAAATCTTTTTTAATCAGAAAGTTGAAATCATAATATCAACATTAATGTAATTTCGAGTTTTTTGCACAAAAAAAAAAAATTAAACTCAAACATATTAAATATATTAAATATTTTAATATACATATATAATCCTGATTTTTTTTATTAATTAGGTTCTAAATTAGACAAAAAAAAAAGCGGAACATTTTTTTTTTAAAAAATCAACATTAATGGTTTCTTTCCACTTGGTGTCATAAAGAAAAGGTAAAATTGATTTGATTTTATTATAATTATTACTGATTGATTTGAATAAATTTTCTAATTGACTTAATAAAGTTCCAATTATGGTTGATGACCTTACCTAAAAAAACTATGGCCAATGACCTTACCTAAAAAAATAATCAAAATTAATGCTAAATCTTTTTTAATCAGAAAGTTGAAATCATAATATCAACATTAATGTTGATTCGAGTTTTTTGCACAAAAACAATTAAACTCAAACATATTAAATATGTTAAATATTTCAATATATATATATAATCCTGATTTTTTTATTAATTAGGTTGTAAATTAGACTAAAATATCTTAACATTTTGAATTTCAAAATTCGATTTGAATTATGATAAGCATTAATCGCGTGTAATTTTAGCGTTTCATTAAAAATTGAAATCTCTAAACTTCAGGGATTTTATTCGGTTAAAAAACTACACTACACTCTGGTGGATCACCAAAAACAATTTGGAGAAGTTCCAACTCAGTTTTTTCTTCTTTTTTTTTATAATTTTTATAATATTTTTTGTAAAATGTTTGTTTCACATTAATTTGGGTACAACAATGTAAATGTTGTATCGCTTTACAGGAAATATAATGTAAAATTTGAGACTGTAAAGGAATTATTATACCAATTGAACAATAGTAAATAAATATTATTTTTGTAAGTTTTATACATTAAAATTTCTATTTATTGGGAGAAGTTTCGTCAGTGTATATATATATATATATATATATATATATATATATATTTGTAACAAAATTTAAATTATTTTTAAGGTGGGGCAAGTAATGCATTATCGACTATATAGGCTTAGACGTAGAAGGTGAAGGAAGAGTACAATATATTTGATTTGCTACAGCCCATTTGGAAACAGAATGGTCGTTTATAGTATCAGTGGATAAAATGAGTCTTTCAAAAGTGTCAATTTTCTGAAACTAATATATCATAATCTCTTCTAATTATTTTAATTCTATAAAAATAAAAAATATTTCTTTGATACACATTATTTTTATCTTTGTACATAATTTATGTGCGGGTAACATCTAGTTGTTTTAGTTAGAATCCAAAATTCATTTTTATCTACAGCATTTTATTTTCAATGTAACATTAAATGCAGTTTTTCTAATTTTACTATTATCTCTCTCTACTTTTAATCACATATATTAATGACAACTACTTTTTTTACATTCTAATTTCAAATTTTTATAAAATTTCAATACCTTTAATTAGGGACAAGAAAGACAATACACTTAAAAATTAAAGTCTTAATTATTTTTTTTATAATTGTGAAAATCTTAAAGTGACAGATACAAGTGAATGGGTGTAGACGTATAGTATATTGTGTAAGGTCGGAGCAAGCAGAAAATGTGAATGCCGCTCCAAAAAGGATGTGACAAATGAATGAAGTCATATTTCACAATAATTTTGTAAGTTGCCTAGCCTCCGAATTCAAGATCTCAAAAGTTAAACCGTCAGACGTGTTCTATTCAGATAAGTTCATGCAATATATCGTACTACAAAATCTGTTAAGCTGTATTATCTTGTCTCACATCGCTAGTGTGAAAACAAGTGACTCAATTTATAAATATCAAAACCATCTCACTCATTACCAATTGATTTTGAGATGGGACCCTAAAGTACTTATATACTTTGTCAAAATCATTAGCATCCAATCCCGTGATAATTACCCAGGATTAAACGATTTCCAACTTCTAGATTGTGTAATTAGGTTTACCTATAACTTAATTTGTCAAAAGAAGACAACCACTCGCAGTAACATACACAGTAAGAACGAGATAACAAATACAAAAATGACACTCTTTCCGTTTCATTTTCATAATTCGTCTTGTTAATAGTTAAAATAATACCACAAGTAGAACTGAAACAAAAAGAACATGTCATTATTCGCTGAAATGAATATTGAAAAGTCGAGTGAGATTTTGAATTTTTTTTTTTTTTTTGAGATCTTGGATTTAAATTTCCGTATATCTTGAGTATTGCCGTGAGTAAATTCTGGCTCCGGGATAATCTTGAGTACATTTGTGATTATTTTAGTCATGCCCTTTTTTGTCATTAATTGGCTCATTGGCTGTAAAGCAAAGATAATACAAAACAGTAGGCTCCCATAAAGACCACAATTATAAGCTCCTCGAATATATTTATCAAAGTGGACCGCCTCAGCACAAGAGGAACATATATACATATCAGAATGATTATCACATATATTCTTGTGCCTTGCCAAACCCTCAAATTTCAGGAGGTCAATACTCCCTCCGAACTATTTACAAGGAACTACAAAGGATTTATTGCCCTGATCGAATATAACAAAACTACTGATTACTTCTTAGCTAGTTTTTGTACAATTAGTATAGAGTCCTAATTATTGATAGAAAAAAATTCTATAAGACTATAAATGACGCATTTCTATTCAAATATTCTCGTCCTCTGTGTAAATTTCGCACTGTTACTACTAGCTCTGCCACTGACTATGTTTGTAAATTTTTCAAGCTAAAACCTCCGATGATCAATTAATTATATTTGTTGAGGCTAAGATGTGTATGTACCTAATGTGGATTTTGTCGCAGTATATGTGTGGAATATTCTACTTCATTTTTTCTAATAATAGAAAGAATCATTCCCGTTAATCAGCTATCATTCATCAAAAAAAATATATCATATTACTCTCCATCATTAAGTACTATATGTATATGAAGTATCTACCGACTAGAGAAGAAGGATCAGATGTGTACCACAAAAGTACAACATCAACTCTTTAGAGATCAACATACATGCAATATTATTATTTTCTTACATAATTATAATAGAGAGCTATATATACATATGCAGTGCGGATTTTTTCATTAATTAAGTGAGCTTTGATTTAGTGACGTTCCCTGGTCTCTTAACCCATTAAATTATTACTTTCATAAGCCCTTTCATTCTTGTAACATGCGACTTTATTAAATCAATATTTATACGTTTCTTCATGACGGATTGTAAGAGAAATTGAACCATACATAACCATGTTTACTTTCTAAATGAAATGAGGACCAAAGCTGTTTAGAGAAATTGATGATGATTCAGTCTATCTTTTTAATCAAAGAACTGAACAAAATTTTTCAAGAGTAACCCACGGTTTCAAAGCAGTGGTAACCACAATTAATGAGAATATCTTTCTTCTCAGCAGGACAACTTCTTTCAAATATGCCAAATAAACATCAATCAGATGGTCTACATTTGGTACATCATTAGTCAATTTAGAGGCTGAATAAAATACTTTGAATTTTTTAGTTGGATTGACCCAGAACCCATAACATGCCAAATCCACAAAAATGGCAGCAGCACAACGTACTTTTACGTGTCGACTTTAAATTGCAGAGAATAACCGGATTCCCAAGGATTCCTTTCCTGGTGATCTTGGTAGATTTCTGTTTGAAAGAGATTAACATAATTAATTAATGGAAAAATGAGAGAAAAAAATAGCTTATATTATTAAATAAGTGTAACATTTACGTGAATCTGTCCACAAGTAGGAAGGAATTGCTCCAATTAAGATACCGTTCCTTTTTAACTTTATGCAAAAGTTTAATATTGCTTTGTAGGGTTACCTCAAGGTGGGATTTTGGCCATTCTTTAAATATTGTTCATTAATTTTATTATAACAATGCTTTGTCCTTTGACTCCTTTTCTAGTCCTATAAATACAAAGCAAGCATAAGCCTCCTCCATTAACCTCGTAAATTTATTCTTTTGCTTAGCCATAGCTAGCTTGCTTATTGATACATTAAATTCTCGAATCAAATCTTCAAGAATATTCATATATATCTCTCTTATATATGGCTTCCCTTACTATACCATCTACCAATACTTGTAGTAGTCCATTGTACACAACTCTTGTTGGAAAGTTTGATTATGTTAAAGATGATCGTCTCTCTTATTCTACTAGTAAGGGCAAACATAGAGGATTAACTATTGTAAATGTTGCTAGTAAACCCCGGCCGCTGGTTTTTCCGGCACCGGAGCAGCCACCAACCGCCGTGCAGAGCGGAGGGAAGCTTGCTGCATGGACTAGTGTAAAACAGGAAAGATGGGAAGGAGAGCTTCAAGTTGAAGGAGAAATACCATCTTGGCTGGTACGTTTTTTATAATAATCATATAATATATATATATATATATATATGTGGATATTTATCGATCAAGATCATGGCAGATAAAATAAAGACATAAAACACAACCATCATATTACTTTTCGTTATTCCCAACCTAATAATCTCGTGCTTTGTTGATCAAAGTAAAGACTGAATGTTGCTTTGCCGTCATTCAGTAGGCACTAATCATTTTTCTAATTTTCAATTTAAAAGACCTAACATGATTTGTTGTCACACAATTAAGCATAATCAATGAATGCTTACTCATGATGTTGTTCGTCGCAGATGAAGCTCAGCAAAATTATATTCTATCTTTCTCGAATCTTTAACCAACTGTATAGACATTAATTCATTCTCCAGTTAATCATACAACGTTAATTAATTTAATATGTAGTGGTCAGAAAAAAGAATGATTATTTTGTTTTGTGATGATTTCATGTAGAATGGCACGTACCTAAGGAATGGACCCGGGTTGTGGAATTTAGGTGACTACAATTTCCGTCATTTATTCGATGGTTACGCCACCCTGGTCCGGCTCTACTTCAAAAACGGCCGGGTCGTAATGGGGCACCGGCAGATCGAATCCGAAGCGTACAAAGCAGCTAAGAAGAACAACAAGCTCTGTTACCGTGAATTTTCGGAAGTGCCCAAGACGGACAACTTCTTAGCCTATATCGGCGACATGGCAAAGTTATTCTCCGGTGCCTCCCTAACTGATAACGCCAACACCGGCGTCATCAAGTTAGGGGACGGGCGGGTGGTTTGTTTAACGGAAACCATTAAAGGGTCAATTGTTGTGAATCCCGACACATTGGACACGATCGGGAGGTTTCAGTACGAGGATAATCTTGGAGGATTGATTCATTCGGCGCATCCGATCGTGACAGACGAGGAATTTATCACTTTGTTGCCCGATTTGATCAATCCCGGGTATCTGGTGGTGAAGATGGAGCCGGGTACGAACGAGAGGAAGGTGATTGGTCGGGTTAATTGCCGGGGTGGGCCGTCTCCGGGTTGGGTCCACTCGTTCCCTGTGACGGAACATTATGTGATTGTGCCGGAAATGCCACTAAGGTATTGTGCCCAGAATCTACTCCGGGCGGAGCCCACCCCGCTTTACAAGTTTGAGTGGCATCCTGAATCCAAAGGGTTTATGCATGTTATGTGTAAAGCTAGCGGTAACATAGTAAGTTTATTCCCCAATTCTCCTTGTTCATTTCATTTTTGTCTCGGTCCTATTTACTCTTACTATCCCAAAATTATTGTTATATTTTAAAATTTAAACTTAAAAAAACTCAAATTGGTCAATAATTTCGGGACGAAAGGAGTATAAGATACAGTTTTAAACTAAGTTACACTTTATGGATTGATTGGAATAGTGGTGATAATCACTGTCCATTTCCTTCGTATACTTTATTTTATGTTGAGTAAGGTTTTAAATTGATTGTATATTTGATTTTGTTCTAAGGTGGCAAGTGTTGAAGTTCCACTTTATGTGACATTCCACTTCATCAATGCATATGAAGAGACAGATGAAGATGGAAGAATCAAGGCTGTAATTGCAGATTGTTGTGAGCATAGTGCGGATACAACCATTCTCGAGAAGCTAAAGCTACAGAATCTTAGATCCTTCAATGGAGAAGACGTTCTTCCGGATGCAAGGTACGTGCTTGCATATATTCTGTTAGAATATATTTTACTCCTTCGGAAACAACCCACCCCCAAAAGGAAAAAAAGTCATGGTGACATAAAACAGTACGACAGATGTGAGCTACTAACGTTGGGCTAACGAAATATTAAGAGGACAGATAATAATAATAATAATAACAAGTATATAAAATGCCAGAAACCAAATAAAAACAGAATTTAGGATTAAAGTAAGTTGTCAAAATTCTAAAAGATGTAAGAATAATAAAAAAAAAATAAAAAGTATATTATAGGGTTTGCATATCCCCAAAATGTAAGAATTTAGCCTTTCAGCCTCCTTTATTGTAACAAAAAAAAATTTTAAAAGATGTGTAGGATTCACGTCAGCTACGCTATCTCCCAAAATTCCCATTGTTTCCTTGTAAAGTACAAAAAAGAAGCAGATCGAAGATACTAAACAACCTAATCTCTGGGAGTTTGGCATTTCATAGTCGGACTTTTGTTAGAACTGATCATTGTTTTGTTTCATCTATCATGCCATAAAAAGAAAAAAAAAATAAAAAAAGAAATCCCTACACAACAAGAAGAAATATATAGAGAGACAATAAGGTCGTGACAGAGGCAGTAAAGCCTACAAGGCCACAACCAATCCGAAACCTCCATTATCATTTGCATGGTCAACTTTTCTAATCATAAACTTCCTACGCACAGCCGGCATTTCGCCTTCATACATACACTTCGTAAAATTAAATATTAGACTTTTTCTTGTTCATCCCATCTAGTGATTGGCTATACCGATCGTGCATTGTGTCTTTGTTTTTCTCCATTTATCTCTATTACAAGGTAGCGTCAAAATCATTGATTCATGAATTGTCCCCACAATCAAAAGCTAACAACGCGATTATCAACGTAAAATTGAATTTTTAACCTTGTACTGATCTGGATATTTTTATTGTAATGATAGTGAAGTTTTATGATAATGAAAATTGATTACAAACTTTATATCTCATCTTAACAGGGTTGGACGATTTACAATACCATTGGATGGAAGTCCAAACGGGAATCTAGAGGCAGCATTGAACCCTAATGAACATGGCAAAGGAATGGATATGTGCAGCATCAACCCTAATTATTTAGGGAAGAAGTATCGATATGCCTATTCTTGTGGAGCCAAAAGGCCATGCAACTTTCCGAATACTCTTACAAAGGTAACATTTTCCTTCGCCCTTGTTTGATACGTTTTTATTGTGTGTTTTTAACATTAAAAATGTAAAAAATTAAGTAATATAAATATGTAAACTGAATTAGGAAATGAAAGCCTATAAAATTAATAAACCAAAAGGTAGCTTTCATCATGGTTTGCAATGTTCTTTTTCCTTTTTATTATTGGGTTTTTTACTACTTCTTCCCCACATATTGTCAAAGCAGCAAAAAATTACATGTAGTTGGCTTTTTTTGTGTGGTACAGAATCAAATTCAACAAACTCATCGAATTAATCAATTACTAATTTTTTTGCTTTTGTAGATTGACTTAATGGAGAAAAAGGCGAAGAATTGGCATGATGAGGGTTCCATACCTTCTGAACCGTTCTTTGTGCCCCGACCTGGTGCTACTACAGAAGATGATGGTATGTTTCTTCCTTAATCTTCTACTCATTATGGCATATAAGAAATAAACTTCCCAAACAATATAAGATTGCAGCTTTGCTTTCTATTCATTTCTTCTTCTTTTTTTCAAAAAAAATAATATTTAAGTAATGGAGTTTCTTGATTTGTGTAATCATATCTACAGGAGTGGTGATCTCAATAATTAGTGGCAAAAACGGAGAGGGATATGCCCTGGTGTTGGATGGATCAAGTTTTGAAGAAATTGCCAGAGCAAAATTCCCTTATGGTCTTCCATATGGGCTCCATGGTTGCTGGGTGCCAAAGAAGTGAAAAAAAAAAAAAGAAAAGGAGATGGAAAAGGTTGCAATCAAGAACTCACAATAGTATACAACAATCAAACAGGTGGTCATGTTTAATTACTATTTCCTCCTTCACTTGGTAGATTATTTTTTGGGAGGAACGGTTAACTGTGATAAAACCACCATGGTGGAGTTGTGCTAACGTCTATATATACTTGCAATTTGAGAGTTATTCATGAAAGAAAGAGTGTGTTCATTATATAGGTTGTAATCGAGTATTAATGTACTTAGGTTACATGTTGGGTATATGTAAATTAATTTTATAGCTAAAAATACGAGTTATTAGTTCATTATTGATCATGATCCAACTTACATAGAATACATACTTGTACGTGCCTTTCAGTTCTTGTGTATTTAGGAACTCCACAAATTTCTTAAATAAAAGTCAGATAATGGCGAATCACTGTTATGAACTATAAGTTAATATATTTGGATTTCCCCCTCCTAGAGGCTCAAGTGAGACACCCAAACCCATCCTTGCCAAGCACTATATATTGTAGCATACATACCTTTTAATCGGAGACCTTTAGCAAGAAAAAGCAAAGATTTGTATCTTTAAATGGAATTGGGTCAGTTACACCTCATTAATTATAATTTTTTGTTCTTTTAAGAGTCACAAACAAATTTGGACTCGTTTGACCCCAAAAAATAAATATTTAAACAAACAGAAGAGTTCAAAACATTCTTTAGATTTTGAAAGACTGGTCGTGGAATAATCTCACAGACACTCTTGTTAATGTGTATTATCTTCTCATATCGCTACCGTAAAGAAAAGTGACTCAGTTTATAAGTGTCAAAGGCCACCCCACTCATTGTCAATTAGTTTTGAGATGGGAACCTAAAGTTCTTATATACTTTGACATGGTATCAGAGCGGTCTGGGCATGTGGTGATGTTCTGGGCCGAAAATGACCTGTAGTGATTTTATATTGACCCACTTAAGCGTTGACTCGTGGGCTTGTTCTGAACCGATCCAGCAGTATAACTGGTTTTCTCCTATTAGAGCATTGACTCGTGGGCTTGTCGTGGACCGATCCAGCGGTATAACTAGCTTTCTCCCCCTTGAGCATTGACTCGCGGGCTATTCTGTTCTTGTTCTGATCCAAGTATATTGGGCAAAAAGTTCAAAGACCCACTGGACTTGAGGGAGGGTGATAAAGTGTAATATATGTCCCACATCGCCACCGTGAAGAGAAGTGATTCTGTATATAAGTGCCAAAGGCCACCCCACTCATAACCAATTGGTTTTGAGATGGGAGCCCAAGATGAGTTTGACATGGTGTTAAAGTGTAATTTCTGTCCCACATCGCCACCATGAATGTTTTGAGATGGGAGCTCAAGGTGACTTTGACATGGTGTTAAAGTGTAATATATGTCCTACATCGCCACCGTGAAAACAAGTGACTTTGTATATAAGTGCCAAAGGTCACCCCACTCATAGCCAATTGGTTTTGAGATGGGAGAATAAGGTGACTTTGACATGGTATCAGAGCGTGCTGGCCTGTGGTGAAGTTCTGGGCCGGAGGTAGTCTGTGGTGATTTTATATTAACCCACTTGAGTGTTGACTCGTGGGCTGTGAACTGATCTAGCGGTATAATGGATTTTTCTCCCACTTGAACATTGACTCGTGGGCTTGTTGTGGACTGAACCAGCGGTATAACTGGCTTTCTCCCACTTGAGCGTTGACTCGTGGGCTATTCTGTTCTTGTCCTGATCCAAGTCCATTGGACAAAAAGTTCAAAGACCCATTGGACTTGAGGGAGGGTGTTAATGTGTATTATCTGTCCCACATTGCCACCGTGAAGAAAAGTGACTCAGTTTATAAATGCCAAAGACCACCCCACTCATTGCCAATTGGTTTTGAGATGGGAACCCAAAGTACTTATATACTTTAACAACTCTTAATATAACTGGGTAAAAAAAAAAAATTGAACGAGGAGGTTAACCATATATTAGCTAAAGCATTTAAGGGAAATTGATATATATATATATATATATATATATTTTCTGTTTCAGAAAATAATTTATGAATATAGGGTTCGCAACATTATCCAGCGTGGACTTATGGGACTATTCAAAGGGTTTACAACAAGCTTGCTGGGGAGTTGGGCTATCTATCATCTTGGTGCAGTTTACATTGGAGTTTGATTACAGAAATTGATTGGAACGTGCTCCATAGAATCTAGGATGTGAAACTCTTGTAAGTTTGGCGCTGAGTCCAATTTTGTAGTAATTTACCTTCTGAATTAATAATAACACAATGATAAATCTAAAGCGTTTTGTCTCATTTGTGCAATAAAAATAATAATAAAATTACAATAAATAAATTAAATTCAAAATGCAACTCAGTAGTCAATCTGGGAAATCCAACATTCCCGTTGTGTATATATGTTAGAGGCACAATAAACTAATTTTTTTTTTTCACTATTAAGCCAGATGACGTTTGCTCATTCATGACTCCTCTATTTTCACTTTTACTTTTCTTTCCATTTAATCAATGGCAAACATCATTACAGATTAATTCAATTCATTGAATATCGCTAGTGATACAACAAATTCTAAAATAATCAAAATAACAATTTCATTAAATAAATAAATACCCACAATCACAAATATTTTTTCCCATTCTAAAATGATTATTTTTGTACTGTAAATAAAAATCAAAACTGGATAATTATTTTAAAATTGAGAGAGTAATTGAGATATGGAGAACAATGTGGTAAAAATTACAATTAAGAGTACTTCGATTTCAACTCCTTAACTAGAATGAAATCTAGCCACTAAATGGAAGTAATTAAGTTTTACTATAAAATCTCAAAGAAAACGGAAAGAAAAGACCTCAAATCGGCAGTCTCATTTGTGATTGTCATGATTAATCCCACAGACAGGCAATAGGAATACGAGGAAAAGAAGGCAGCCACAGAAAATACTGAAACCTAGGAAAAAAATTGAAGCTCTGATCCTTTGACTTCAATTTGTGCTGTTCAGTGAGGAGTTTCAGAGAGGGTCCTCTGGTTCCCATAATATTTTAACGTTATCATTTGGACCCAAAAACCTGTTTCAAGTTCGACATTTAGCCCCCACAATCACGCACGCATCTAGTGCCTATGATATGCTTCCCAAAACTGTTCGAAAATTGGCTTATATGCTCATTTTCCCATTCAAATTATTCCTATATACAATTTATATAGAAAAGCTAGTATATAACATCAAAATGAGCATATTTACTCCCATTAAATCAAATATGAACAACCATAATTACTAATAAAATTTTATTAGAGATCGAAATTTGAAGGGGGAACATCAAGAGAAAGTACCGCCGAATTATTTTTATCATTGTTCTTTTCAAAATCCCAACTAGCTAGTTATGATTCCTCCCTATTGAACGTATATTTGATGTTGTCGTATCGAGAGTTAGGTTGAAATGAATTCATTTTTATCCGGGATTTCCAAATTGTTACAGTATTCTACATCGTTTGATATATATCGTCCATATTAAAGCTATCTAGTTTTTGTCCTGCATACTTTGTGCCTTATCAAACTCTCAATTTGCAAGGTGCCGAAGGTTGGATATACAGCCATAACTATTCTCATCCAAGATTAATTATTGGTTTGACGATTCAGATAATGTGAAAGCTTCTACAAAACATGGCTGTAACTAAAATTGAAAAATCTCATACTTAACTTAATATATTACTCCTGTTACGGAAATATAATCCACATTAAATTTTGACATTTGTACTAAAAAAAAAGTACAAATCTGAAAATCTCAATGTCAATTTTTTTTTTTGGGGGACAAAGGGAATATTAATTATTGGTTGAATCAAAGAAATGTATGCGCTGTGGATTAAGAACATGGTCATTATTTTATGGTTAAACTCTTTAGAGGTTTCTGAAATGGATTCTCATTAGTGAGGAGAGGGCGATTTTCTCACAAATTTATACTAGACGCAGCAATTTTTATTTGTTTATATATTTACTTTAAAAAAAAAAAAGAAGTCTGTTATGTAGATTTTGATGTAGTAGTATACATGTGTGGAATGTTCTAATTTCTACAAATAGGGGAAATAGTTAATCCAGCTAATCAGCAATAATTCATCCAGAAATGAGAAATGTATAATTATATGTTAATCAATCAATCAACTAGGAGAGGAATCAGATGAGTGCCACAAAAGTACAACTTCAACTATTGTTCAGATAAAACGTGCTCTATTTATTTTATGCAATATAGAAAACTAGCCAATTAAGTTATGAGCTTCTGCACCATGTTGTTGGTATTTCGTAATAACGTGCTGCAGTAAAGTCATAATATTAAGTAATTGTCTCTTTTATTGTAAAAAATAAAATAAAATTGTGAGCTTCTGCATTATTATTCGTTAAAAGTTGCGCGGCTATATTGACAATTAACTTTTAAATAAATTCTTATTTCCGAATTTAGCCGCGAGCCTCCCTCCTCAAATCCAGGGAGTGAAAACAAATTCTCATCCACCCCATCTCTTTCTCAACACAGAAGGTGGGAAATATTTAACCTCTACGATCGCTTTACTATTTTCATCCAATGGTTGAAATTGCTAACTAGATACCAAAGGTTATTTTTAATTCAATTAGGTTCATCAGGAGAATAATTCATCAAGATTTATCTTTCAATTAGATTTTGGTCGATCATCTATGCGATTTTAATTTTTCGTGACTATAATATGTCGTTTGTAGTCCGGCGTCAGCAATAGTCAGTGAGTATGTAGTTCATCAGCTCATTGGCTTGAGATTCATGCTCCAAATTATGAAACCGTAATAAATCTTTTTTCAAATCTTTAATAATGTTTCCGTCTCAAATGATTGTTCAACTTACAAATTCATATTAGACAATTATTTTGGATGAGGAAACTACTGATTAATTAGAATTTCTATTGAGGTATTAGTGACATATTTGAGATCACATTCAAATTCTAATAGCCTTGTTTTAATCAACCA